GTGATGTAGAAGAGGATCTTGATAGATGATCTGCCATAACTGCTCCTGGAGAGGATAGTCGGGGGGTATGAACATTGTAAACTCTGCATCTGAGATATGAGGACAGAATGTGTATGGCCCTGATCATGATGGAAGCTTCATTATCGTTTACCACATGTCTCTTCCTCCAGCCGTGGACGACAGCAGTGTTGTCAACATGTAAGACTACGTTGGTTCCAGATAGTGATGATGGAAATGATAAGAAAGGTAAGAGTACCCCTATGGCTTCTAGGTTGCTGCTTTTTGCAGCAAATCGTGTACCTGCATTATCTTTTGCATAGAATAATAGGCTATGAGGCCAAAATATCCTTGAGATTTTTAAGAAAGTAGTCTGATCCCTTGAATGTAGAACGGAAGCGGCTCCGAACTTCTCACCCTCAAGACTGTTAGGAGACTTGGATAGATCTATCCCTGCTGCATCAGATGTGCAATGGATGGAGTAGATTGGAGGGAAAGATGGTCTAGGGTGTATTGGTAACCCGTGTCTGCTAAAATTAATGATGTTTGACCAGATTTTCAAATCTGATCTCACAGAATTAGGGATAAACATTTCTGTTCTGTTGTCGGACTTGAATTTTCTGATAAAGCTGTACAGGGGGAGTCTAAAAGCTTTGGTAAATGGTGCCATACTCCCAAAATTCTCAAGGCAACCTGCTATCTCTTGAACTGTAAGGAGGTTTGTTGTCCTTCTTGTGAGAAACCGTGAAATTTTCCTTGTCAAGTCATCTGCCTTCCGATCTGGAAAGGACCAGGATATGGGACTGGAGTTAAAGTTGAACCCCAATACAGTACCCCTGGTCTGATTAGTAAATGCCTTGTCTTTGTTGGGACAGTCGGGGGCCAACTCTATTCTGAGATCCGAGCAAAGTTTCTTGTACACAGCTGAGAATTTATCTGTTAATCCGGACTCTTTGGGAGATACTACTGTCACATCATCCAGAGTTCTGTGTGTAAGAATTCTTGGGAAACCGCTGAAGATGCAAGCTAAGGATAGCACAAGTTCTCCCAGATTGTCGAATGCTTCCACAGAATTCACTGATCCAAACACCAAGGATAATTCAACGAAATATCTATCCAACCATGAGAATCCTTGCAACCTTAGGTCTTCAACCTTTACTGGGACGTTCTTGTAGGCATCGCACCAGTCATGCTTAGACATCACAGCTCCAGGTCCGGACTCTAGTAAAGAGTAACAGAACAGTCTTGTACTTGACATTGATACTGATCTAGAAGAGCTCGGAGTAGTATTATTGTTGTAGCATTCCTTCTCTGGGTGGGATAAGTTCATCACTAAGCGTATCTTATCTTTTTGCTTTATCCCTGTCATTGTGTTAGATCGAAACCCCTCGAGCGGCATATCTTTAAAGGGACCTGCAATAAATCCCTTGATGATGCCTGAAGCAATGGTATCCGATACTCTCCCTCCTGAATCTGCTAGGTTTGAACTATTCTTGCAAACAATTGGGGGAAGGTTCAATTTTTGGTAGGAATTAGCTCCTTCCTTTAAAGACAGAATTGCTTTTTCTCCCCATGTTTGGACAGGAGCTGGGAGCTGATCAAAATAATCTAGATATAGAGAGTGCAGCAATTCAATATTTACTCCTGTCTGAGGGCTTCCGGGAAGATCTTGATATGGCCATTTATCCCAGTAATCAGGATTTGGTGAAGAAATATAATCTTTCAGGATAGGTATGTCAGGAACCTTCTTTCTCCATCCCACTTGGGTTTGGATCGAATTGGTTTCTGAGGATGCGGGGCTGTGCAGCCAAGAGTTGACTATCGACCAATCTGGGGGAAGACCAAAGTCGCTGTAGTCCAAACTGTTACCTAGTCAAAAAAAAAAAACCTTATTTCAGTATCATAATATCTTTACTAAATTCATCCATTGTAACATTGTGTTGCATTCCTGTCATGAAACATTAAATTATCTTAAAACCCTGTATTGGGCCTAATTCTTGTGACCCACTAACCATGATCATTATTAAGCATGTTGTCCTCATAAAATATTCATATTGTTCCCTTCTATCATAAATATAGTTCTATTGTGAATTCAACCATGTAAAATCAGTCAGCTAAAATTCATTATTCTTACAGTGATAACCAGAAAACTGTGACATATGAAGACGACATTAAAGTAATATTGAACTGTATTTAATATTTTAACCGAGTAAATAGCCTAACTAGTAGTTATTAGTCACTTATTACATGAAATGGGTCTGTTGACATAGCACAATTGCTGTGCCTCATTGGACTATCTAGTCATAAATTGAGCCTAAAAGTCGACTTTATATCCTATAGTTTTCAGGTTATCACGTACAAGCAGGCTACATTCTTTATTAGCCGTCAAATAGTCCCATAGAGTATTGAGAAAGCTGTTTGTTTTGTAAACTTGTAGCATATAAGGCCCAAAATAATGTCTCACATGACCTCGGAGAATTGTAAATATTTCCAAAACAAGATAAAGAAATTGAGTCTTTGCCAAAATCTACAATTTTCCATTACATGTATCTTTGAAACCCGATGTTGCAGACCTCAGATATTTCATATTATAAATTCTGTTAAATGAAATAATTTAAGTTTGAAATATCAAAAGTCTACACCACCAGGCTGCAAAGATGTAGGAATTTGAAACTCTGATTCCTTGGCAAAAACTCAATTCCCCCTTTACAATTTCGGAAATCAGCTCATGCTGACAGAAAATTTCCCTAGATTAATATTAAAATAGATTTCCTATGGGTTTTATACTGAAATCTTACAATAGGGTGCAAAGTTCACTTAAAACTGGTATAAAATTAAGGTTCTGAAGTCAAAACTTGTACTGAAAATGTTGGGACATTTCATCAACAAATTTACAAGTGTCCACATCAAATATCAAGATCTAAATTTCAATAAAGCGATATTCTGCACAAAAGTTGCAACCTCATACTACTAATTTGTTATTCCAAATCATGATAAACTTATACTTCAGGTCTTTTATCAGGCTTGGAAACTACAGCCCAGGTGCTTAAACTGTATGACATTTATTTTTTCTTTCATTTAGAAAACTGATCAGGGTATCAAAAATATATTTAATTAATTTTCACTCAAAAATTTTTATTTTGTTATCTCATAAATTCTCTAGATGAAAACACACAAATAAAATTTACAGTAATGCGTACAACTATAGTTCATTGATAGAATTTCATAGAAGCATTTAAATATATCACGGTCTCAAATATGACTTAAGAATTAAAATCACGACTCTAATTGTGTTTAAACTGGGGGTGCGGCTGGTTACACTTGAAACAGACGTGTTTCAATGGACGAGGGTTTGCTCCGCTCCTGCTGGGCATCATGCAGAAATGAAGGTTCTGAGATGGACAGATGCCCTGGTTGTAACGGATACAAATTTCTCCACCAGCATAGGAACTCTTCCTTTTACTGTTTGAATTGTAGTGGGACGAAGATGAGAGAGGGAGTGGAGAGAACTTGGACTTTCCTAGGCTGGGTGGATTCCGGAGCTAAGTTGAGTTTTGATTCTGGTTCTCTTGAACTGAAGAAGAGGGCTGGGAGCCCAGACTGTTGTCTGCAACGAAGTGCTGCCAAGTGTTTCTTAGCAACTCTACACTAAGAGGGGGATCAGCCGATCTCCACAGTTTGGCATTCTTTAGGAAAACAGTGTTGCAGAAGTCAGTTAAAATCTTTGCTTGGTTTCCTTGTATCTCGTTGATCATGAACTGGTGGTGTTCCAAGAAGAGAATCAGCGCGGCAGGTGCTGGATACCAGGGAATGGCCATAAAGCTCGCGGTCTGATATGCTCTCAAAGATTGCTTCAGCTCTGCCATTGAGAAAATATCCTTATAATTTTCTCCTACTCCAATAGCCTCACCATTACCCAGGAGAGAGAATTTCGCTTGTGAGGAGCTGGTTGTTGACGAAGAGTTGAACCTACTAAACATTCTCAGGCACATGCTAGTTAACCCAGGATTATGAACTTCAACCCAACCTCTAGCTGAGACACAATGACTGAGACCAAGGAAATCTAGATCGTAATTATCTGAGGGTGGTAATCCATTGGCTGGAACTACCTTCTTTGCTGCAACCATAAGCTCCCTGATTGACAGTCTAGGGAATCTATCAAACCTGACTGGACAAAGACTGTTCAACGAGTCATCAATATGACTTCCGGTGTGCTTTGGTTGGATTAGAGCACGATTGTTAGCCTGAAGTTGGTTTGCTATCCCTTGCCTGCTCATATCGGTTGAGGTGAGGTTAGCCTTGTTCATTGAAGACAATTCCTGCAAAGAGGCTTTCTGTATTAAGTTTCCAGGAATATTCAATGTCCAAGGGAAAAGATCTCTAATCTGTTCCAATTCGGGTTCGGAGTATTTCAGACCTGTAGAGCTAGAACCTGTATGAGGATCCGGAGGACCGCTCTGGGGTTGGAAAACATTGCTATTCTCCTGAGGATAGGAGATCAAAGGTTCACTCACGTGAATCCTTGTTGCCTCCCTCCTTAAACCTTCACAAGAGTTTAACGCCTCTTCTTGGAGAATCAAATCAATTTCTTCTTGAACTTCCGGATCACCTGGTGTTCCTGAAACAGACATTTTACAAATTTTGAAAAAATGACACAATGCAAAGTCTTTTCTAAACATGCTATCGATCCCTGGGAAAGTGATGTGATTTAGCGTAAGAATTTCTGTCCTTTCATAGAATTGATTTTCACAACTCTTGTTCCCTGGGAACTATTGCACTCTGATAAAACTTTTGGCAAGCCTACTGAGGTTTTCTTTCCAAATTTGAAATGTGTTACCATTTTTTAACCAATGCTGTATTCATAAAATTTAGAAAAAATGACTGAACCATGAAAGACTAGTAAAACTGGTATATTTAATTATTTAAGAACATCATGAAAAAATGTACACAAGTCTTGAAACATATTCTATTGAAACTTGGGGGGGGGGGGGGAGGGGATGATCTGTCCCTACAAGGAAGTGACTAAAGCTGAGGAGATTTTCTGAAATATCTTTTCTTTTTGGTGAGAATCCAGTCTTTCATAACGAGATATACAATCACTGTTCCATCTACTCTATCCTCTGACTTCATCTGAATTCAATAGAGAAGGCATCCTCTGAAGCTCAGAAGGTAACCCTGCCCGGAAACTATGAGCCGAAATAGAATGGTCTCTGAAATCTATTCTGAATTTAAGCAGTGATTTCAGAGCAATATTGACATAATCAATAGTGAAAATATAACCATCGTCGTCGCAGAAGAGGGGAAGATGAGAAGGTAGGCTCCTTTTAGATACTGAAGATAAATGAGATTTTAGAGCTAGAACAGGACAGAGTCCCTTATATGGGAATGGGAACAAGTACAAGAACTCTCCTTTAGGGTTCTCAGATTTGGGACATCTCAGGTGTATCATGATCCCGGAGTCTCTGACAAGCACATCTCTAACTCGTAGAGTTGAGGATGCATCAAACGATGTTCTAGAGGGTCCAACTAATTCCCCCATTCTAGCACTTGCAAAGAAAGCTACTGAAAACAAGGCCCATACTGCAGTCTTGAGATAAAGAGACCAACTGAATCTCTCTATCTCCTTTTTCAGAGCTTGTAGTAATGGCAGAGAAACAACTCTTCTTTTGTTTGAAGAAGGTGGATTACTCAGGTTCTTAGCCCCTCTGATCAATATTTGTATCATGTCATCTTGCAGAATATGTGGGGCAGGGAAACCCTTGATGAGATGGATATATCTCATGGCAGACAGATAGTTTATCACTGAAGCTGAGGAAAGCTTTCCTTCCGACAATGCATATGACGTGTAAGCTCGAACTGCTCCGATGTCGAGGGGCCATGTGTAAGTAACTCTTAAGAAAACCTCAAACTTTTGGAAGCTTCTCAAGGCTGAAGAATAGTTTCTCCAGGTACTATTCGATATAGAGGCTGCTACCAAATCCTGCGTCTTGAGCAATAATGTGCCAGGTGGGATGAAAGATTTGTTCTTGAGGATAAGCGATGGATTTGTAAGCTTAGAAATACAACCATTTGGGCGTCCAGCTGAGTATTTGGGATATAAATTGCATAATGGAGTAAAGCCATTCTGATTCTGCGAGTTAACAGGAAACACAAGGTTACTATTACCTGGAGTAATTACTGGACCATGTGTTGATTTTCTCTTCTTGGGTGCTGAAGTAACCGTTTCCTTAGATCTATCTCGATCCAGCTCTGCTCCAAACATTTGGATTGGGGAACCCTGCCTTGGAGATGCAACCTGCTTACGAGCTTCATCCCAAATTACATGATCATGTTTCGGTAATTCAGCGTAGATGAGGGAGAGACCTGGAAATTATTCTTAGATTAGAATATACCTCTATTATTCAATTGCAATGGGGGGGGGGATGAATGACCAAAGTTTTACTTTGTGGCAGAGGTATGGATACATACTTTCGTGGAAGTTATGCTTTGCTTAAGTGTACTTCAGAGGCATTTCATCATTTTGTGAAACTTGGCTTCAAAACATAAAATAAAATCTACATTTTCGTGAAACAAAATGAATGCTCAAATTACTTCTTTTCCTTACCTGAGCAAAATATCTCTGGGTTATTAGTGATATTGTCTACAAAATCTTCTATCTGTCCCTCTCCCAAGACGAAGATAGACGGCTTTGGACCAAATAAACCACCTTCTCTGAAGAAATGGCAAGAGAGAGGGATGGAAGATACTAAGACTGCAGGAGTTAATGGTTGGCTGAGCACTGGGTGCGAGTTCAGGGTTGCTGCATGAGCTGGAAGTGCTTGAATCTCAAGTGTTAAACCCAGAGTAGATGAACCTGCGCAGATCGCATAGCAAATACTGACATCTAAGGGATGCTGAGGTTGTTTGTGACCTAAAAATCAAAATTTTGTGGTGCTTTGTTTTGTTGAACTAAGTTTATTTCTTTACTTCTATAAATGATATTGTACCTTTACTGGCCTTGGATGGCCATGATTCCAGAAAAGAAATTACGGTAGCTTCTATATCGTCCTCCTGAATTTCATCTTGTGAGAAATCAGGCTGTTCTACAGAGACTGTAGCGATACGTTTCTCCAGTAGGGATTTTACACTTATCCAGGAGGTGGAGGTACCGTTAGCTAAAAACTGCACTGAAGCCGGGTTGATAGAAAGGTGGAGGTTGTATCCTTCTTTAAGATTGAGATCGCATGTTGGGATTGATAGATTCAATTCTTCTCCGCGTAGTCGAAGCTAGATTAAATCAAATGAAATACTAAAATTGAAATTATATTGGAAAATAGTTGTTGCATCTTTATATAAATTTGGCTTGTCTGTTTATTTATTTATGCTTTACAGTTTTTTATTTTTTATTTTGTAAAAAATGTATTTATTCGATTTTGAATTAAATCAATTTTAAATTTTCCTTCTATTTAAAATCTGCAAAATTTTCCTCTTCTTTGTCATCAATGATCACCGTGAGACATGTTCATAATTGAAATAGAAGGTGGGCGCGAAGCGCCCTAAAAGCTTAGTAAATTTAAAAGTGCACCTGAAAATCACCTATTAGGCAATTCGACTCACAGAGGACGCTAAGACTAGCGGATACAGTTGATCCTGGCCTGTGAACCGGGTCGTACTGGGAGAACGTGCCCCCTCCTGAGATGTTTAGATTCTGAGGTAGCAAGCTGACCATCTGAATATAAAAAAATAAATTACAGAGGTCAAGCATTAGTTTACATTATTTCAATCTGAACTTGAGTATGAGGGGTTGGAAAAATATTCAGTTTCAAGGGAAGTTTATTGCTTTGTCTAATGAAAATCAGTTAAATACCAATCAGAATAGATGCCGGAAAGCAGTGGATTAAAATCGCGTTGGCATATGCAATGCAGCATGTAGTGCTAAAATGTGCATGTAAAGGATTACAAAATAGTCAGCTAGAGCGCTAAAATTAAAGCTCAAGGCCTTACGACATTCCAAAGCCGACCCTGTCTTAAAATTTATTGAGACTTTATATATGCAAGCTGAATCATGTGGGTAGCGTATGCTTTTACTCTAGGTGGCATAATCCGGGTTAATTTGAAGTTGACTGCCATAACAATGAAACAGGACTGATTTAGCACAATTTTTAGATTAGATTTTAGATTTAACATGATAAAGATTAACTTTCTTTGTTAATGCTTAGTAAGCTGTAGTTTCGAGTAGCTAAGCTGTAGTTTCAAGTAGGCTCAGCTAAGTATCAGACAACAAACATAAGCCCTAGAGTTTAAGCGTAAGCTGCCGTAAACTGTATTTAAGTGGCTTGCCATGTTAAATTACAAACTCATAAATCAATGTTTGCATTGCTTTACTGAAAAGCGTCAGCTGTAGTTTCAAGTTTCGAAAGTTAAGAAAAGCATGGAATTATATGAAAAACGTACAAAATTAAGCTTGGCTTTAAAGCGCAAGCTGTAGTTTCTCATGTTGTTAGCTGTATCTGTAAGTGGCGTGCTAGGTCAAATAAATCCATGCTTGAACTAAGTTCTTTACAGGTGAGCGTAAGCTGTAGTTTCATGGTAGATAGCGTAGGCTATGAAACATAAAAAATTGCAAAAATCTTGCATGCGAACAATTCATTAATTACTCAATTTAGCTTTGACGCGTAATGCGTAAGCCTAAGCTATGGTTTACCCTAAATTATAGGATGTATTTTTAAGTAGCGTACGCTAGTTTATCTAAAATATATGACTGGACTCGTCCTAAATCAATGCTATCATGTAGCCTTTACCAGATAAGCTCAAGATGTAGATTGAACAGCGTAGGCTGAGGTAGATAGAATCTTCGATTTGTATGCTTCAAATCAATTCTTGACTCTTAGTCGGCGTGCAAATATTATTCTATGAAGCGTAAGCTAGATTACTTTTATCGCATCAATAGCATGAGAGAAGCCAAGTGCATGCGATATATTTGTATTGAATATTCAATGGTTGCATACCTTGTGTAACAAACATATGCTTCAGTCATTTATTATAAGCTTTGAATATTTCCATAAACATATATGCTTAAATAAATTCAAGAAGATAGATACAATTTTCCCTTTTTTGACCAAACACTAAAAGTTAAAATAGGTTGAACAATACTAAGCGGGTTTATCGCTTTGTTTTCAAAATATTAATAAAAAGCTTAAAATTAAATATCCTGTATATTATCGATGCGAGTTACAACATTGAAAAAAGTTAAAGCTATGAATTAAAATATTGTGAACAGGACAACTTAAACACACAACCATTTAGCATCAATCCCATTAGAATCAAACTAAATTTAAAATAAATCTACACTCAAATGTATATATCGTAGCCTCTAAACGAATGTCCAAAGTTATAAAATGCGTAAAACATAGTCATACTTCTGATACCGATACATCAAGTTAAAACAGTTCAATAACTTTAAACCAGGCGTAGGCCGTATAAGGGATACATATTACTTTATGTTAGGTTTTATACAAGTGTTGCTCTCATGACTTGAGTCGAAAATATTAAAGTTACTGATTTGACTCAAGACAATTTTGGAGGATCCGTCCAAGAACGAGAAGAAACTTACCTTAACAGACTGTACAGGTTGAGACGAGACCAAGCTTCCGGCCATTCTAATCATTCTGATTCACGATCCACGAATCACCAAAAGGCCGAAAATTTATTCTGAGTAAATCTGTGCTCTTTATGCCGGCAACAAGCTATTGAAAATGGCTGCCAAGAGCCGACACTAGCGCCTTCTGAGCCCCTAGCGGTGGTTGGTTGAATTTGCAGGGCGCCAAATTCAAATATCTCAGAGTTAAAGTTCATATTATCAACTCTCTAAAATTACTTCAAGAGATTGAAGTAAAGAAATTTATATTATCTTTATTTATAATTTCCTGGAATGTGCTACATGTTATACATTGTAAATCAGAGAAAAAAGTTGATTTTTTTCTTAAATCTTTATAAACTCTAGGATAACCCTGGGTTCCGTTATAAAAAATGACATGCCATTTTGTCCAGTTGTTTCACCACCTATAAGGAACATAATAATGTAATATTTATTCAATAGAATACTGAAGGGGTTGGCGTTCGTGCACATTTTAAAATCAAAATTTGAGAAAGAATAAATTTGATAGTATTTTAGTCTTTGTTGCTCTCAGGAAAATTGTTGGGTTCCCTTAAAAAAAAACCAGTTATTTGGCTCAGATGTTTCACCAGCTATAGGAAACATAATAGCATGTATATGGTCATTATTTATGGAAAGGTGAAAGACTGCTGTGACGTGATATATGGGCTGGGTTTGAATAAAGGTCTAAGCTAATGCATTTTTTAATAGTTATGACAGTGTCCCCACATTTTTAAATGATAAAAACATTTTTATACAATTACCAAATGTGTAAAGTTTTATATTGAATAGTTTTAAAATGTAGTAATACTAGAATAACTGTAAATAATAATATTCTGGTAAGAATGTCGTCTTCCTGGCAAAGAATTTAAAAATAGAGATATTTGAATTAATATGTATCAGAATCTATAAATAGATTTGTGTTTTCAGGCCGAAATACAATACCCTAGACCTTTATGCACACGCAGGCCAAATATCACGGCACACTGGTTGTTATCTATTTAAGTTATTTAAAATCGAATTTTGAAGAATAAAATTATAAAATAATATAGTATATGAATAAAAATCAATAAAGCAATGCACTGAGTTTCTCAAATATTCAACGAGTCGGTTTTTCTTACAATATATTTATATACAAAAGATGCAAAATTACAAACTTTAAATCGAACGATACTAGTACAAACTAAATATTATGAATCAATCAGTTTCATCAAATAGGGGAATTCTTCAAGGGAACCTTAATTCAAGGGAGCTGAATCACAACTGCCTTTTTTCCCTCTATTTCGCTCCACCCTTAGTTCGCATTCTACCCCACGCCCTGTGAGCTGGCCGGCCAGCTCACTAGTTCCCGGGTTCGGAGATAACGGATTTCTCCGCGTGGCTTGGGTTAAATATAGAAACCAAACATAAACAAGAAAACCCGTTAAATATCAGTAAAGGGTAAGGGGGGGGAAGGCAAAATGGGGTTGAGTGCGAACGAAGGGTAAAAATAATGATAAACAAAATGCTATTTACAGTCGCAGGAAAGATCAAAACATCATTTTCCTGCTACAATAATAAAAATAAAACAACGGGTCGTTAAAAACTTTAGCACACAAATAAAGATACACAAGAACCTCCAAAATCACTGGAAAAAACGGATTAAGAAAATGTTGAAAAATGACCGAGTTATGGGCGTTTCCATGAAAATATTTGTGAAAAATCGACATTTTCGGAAAAATATTTTAGACATTTTGTTATTTTTTCATCGTTTTATGGTCGGTTTTAAGATTTAAAAGGCTGGAATCGTATTCACTGAGATCTCCTGCTAACTTTAATGGCCTTTAAAGTTTTTCTAGGGCGTCGGAAGGCAAAATTAAAAATTTATTTTAAAAATAACTTTGGTTGATTTGGTCGAAAATACGCGAAAAGGCCATATTTTTGACATTATTTGACTTGTCCTGACCAAACTAAGCTTAGTAGAATCGTTTAAAAGCATGGAAAAAGATGCTCTGAGACATGGACATTTGCAAAAAACGATATGGCAATAACTTGAATGGTGAAGGGTTTGGGATTGCCCGTCCAGTTAATAAAAAATAAAAATAAATGAATTTTTATAGACTACGATAATTCTGCGTCACCTCTGGATTCCATCAAAAATTGTCAACGTCATTAGGTTTAATTGTTTCGCCATGTATTAAGAAATATAAATAAAAATGCAAAATTTTGTTTTATAGTATGCTGAAGGGTCTGGCGTTGCCTGTGCAGTTTTTAAATCAAAATTTTAAAAAGAATTTGGATTTTTAAAGTTTTTGTTACCACCATCCAGGCTTATTATTGAGTTCCCTTCAAAATATATTACATGTCATTTAGTTTTGCTCTCTTTACCAGCTGTTAGCAACATAATACAAATGTATATGGTCATTATTAATGGAAAGCAGAAAGACTGGGCCAATTGATTTTTTAAAATCAAATTTTGAAGAATAAAAAATATGAATTAAAAATATTAGGCCATTTGGTTCAGCTGTATGGCATGCCATAGGGACCATATATACGAGTTTAGAGTTATTATCTTAGGATACGGGATATTAAAAATTAATTAAATTACTTTGCATAGATCTGAATAACATGTAGATGAATTTTTATTATTTAAAAACATTGAAATAGGTTAATTTAATCTTTTACTAAATACTCGACAATTTTCTCTAACATGTATAGAGTTTGATGTCGATCTTTGTCTCCATGTCCCCCTCCATTTTGACTAGCTCCTCCTCTTTGTCCTCCTTGACCACTTGCTTCACGTCCAGCTCCTCTTCCTCCCTGGTATCGTCTCTTTCCTCTACGACCTAACTATTAATATTGAGAATAGGATTTAAAGGGACTGTTCAAGAAATAAGAAAGGGGGTATAGGTTTAAAGAGAAAAATAAGTTTTTGATTGCTACTAATATTATTTTTATGTGTTGTGTCTTTAAGGAAAAAATTATTAAAAACGACTCATACCGAAAAATGTAGTGTCAATACAAATTTGAAAGATGACACATTCAAATGGGATTGTAAACATATCAATTTGATTTAAACAAATCATTCAGATATTACAACTTAAAGTTTGACGCGTTCGTATATAGTTAATATTTTATAATATTTTTTAATTTCTATGATCTGTGAGTGACATTTGAAAACATTCAATCTTGATTGGAGGATTTTTAATAATGAAGACAACATTTTCATATTTTCCAGAAATGTTCAAAATCCAGCGCCAACGAAAATTGTTTTAAAAAAACCAAATCAAAAATTGTATGCAAGTTTAAATGTACTAATTCAATTAATGAGAATTTTTTCAATCATGCGTACCAATGTTTTATAAATAAAAAATTTGATGAAAGAAATAAAGATTCAATTAAAATTGGACTTTATTCAGTTATTAAGTTTACAATAAATTAATTGAATAATTACCTCCTTGCCAACCACCAGGTCCACCAGGTCCACCAGGTTGCTGCTGCTGACCAACTAGATAATTTTATTATGTTAATGAAGTTTCAGTGTTTTCAGTGTTATTAGATATCTATATATAAATTTGGCTTGTCTGTCTGTCTGTCTGTCTGTCTGTCTGTATGTCTTTCTGTCTGTCTGTCTGTCTGTCTGTCTGTCTGTCTGTTTGTTTGTTTGTTTGTTTGTCTGTATGTTTGTATGTTTGTATCCAATAAATGTCAAAACGGCTGAACCAATCGGGCCCACATTTTTGTGGGACATCACGTGACCACAGGGAAGGTTTAAAAATGATTGAAATTTTAAATATTTGCCTCCATCAAAATTCGATCTTCATTAAATTTTTAAAATTTTGAAAATCCACTAAATTTATTGTGAAAATCCACAAATTTCTTTTGTTTTGTTTTACAATGTACACAAAGAGAACATGTTCACAATTAATTTAGAAGATGGACGCGAAGCGCCCTCTAAGGTTAGTATTAATATATCTATATATAATTGGCATTTTTTTACGGTCTCAGTCATATGTTGTAATTTTCTGAATTTGTATGGGCGCTAAGTTATTTGGCATGAGACGTCTTTAACAATTTTATCTTTATAGACGCAATACATAGAACTAAGATTAGTAGCAATCAAAAGCGCTTTTTTATCGCATTAAGCCTTTCATTTTTCGCTAATTTATAGATTGAAGCCTTGGTTTGCTTATGAATTACCTTGAGGTTGCAATCCTGGCTGCTGGGGTCCTTGAGGCTGAGGCTGCTGAGGTCCCACTTAATAAGAATGCAGTTATTACAATGTGTTGCAATTTTCTGAATTTGTATGGGTGCTAAGTTATTTTGCATGAGACGTCTTTAACAATTTTATCTATATAGTCGCAAGAGATAGAACTAAGATTAGTAACGATCAAAAGCGCTTTTTTATGGCATTAAGCCTATACCCCCTTACATTTTTCACGAATTTATAGATTGAATCCTTGGTCTGCTTATGAATTACCTTGAGGTTGCAGTTATGGCTGCTGGGATCCCTGAGGCTGAGGCTGCTGGGGTCCCTGAGGCTGAGGCTGCTCAGGTCCCTGAGGTTGCTGAGGTTCCTGAGGCTGAGGCTGCTCAGGTCCCTGAGGCTGAGTCTGCTGAGGTCCCACTTAATAAGAATATAGTTATTGGACTTGATGTGCACTATAAAGTATTTATAGGAAGACAACAATAGAGTATAGATGTGTGTACAGTTGCGCATGGTAATTTAGTGTCTACATTTTGAAATGGTTTTATTAGATGATATTCAAGACATTAAGAAAACATAAATTAAATGGATTACCTGGAGGTTCCTCTCCTGATTGTTGTTCGACCCTCACTGCTAAGAAAGAAAAATATTTAAGCTCTAACATAAATGAAATAAATTATTGCGCAATTCCTTTTCCAAAAAGAAAAGTTAATTTAAACTTTGGTAGCGGCATACAGTAAACTCCATTGCAACAACATTTTAGACTCAAATTGATTTAAAACTAAATCTTTTGTTTCATAATATGCATATGCAGCATCAAAACTAGACAGCTGTAGCATAGGAAGACAACATTTTAGAGTAAAAGAAACCAATGTAACTCAATAAGTGATTTAATAAGATATTAATTAATTTTTTTTTTGCTAATTTGTGACAACATCTAATACACTAATGTTTTCTTTCTGGTACATAGTTTTCTGGTTCTCACTGTAGCAAAATATCTAATTTTCATAAAACAAACTTTACAATTCTAACCAAAATTTTAATGGTTAAGGAATGAAATCATTTAAATTTTTAATTAACTTGAAAATTAATAGATACATAAAAATTTGGAAACTGATAAAACAATTGTGAAACTTGGACATATATTAATTGAAAATCTATAGAAATATCTCAATTCTTGTATCTGCTGCATAAATTTGTAAGTCAAACAGTTAAAAATATGATAATTTTATTGGAAAACAATTCCGTTGCATGGAATTCCGTGAAATTTCATGAATGTTTATAATTTTCCTTTTTTGTAATTATAGCGCAATTCCACGCAAGGGAATTCCAATTGGAAACCTTATTTTTAATATTATTCTTGGAATTTTATGAAAATTTAATTTTAAGCATCATTATTTTAGCTTTAGGTAATAAATAGATTAGAAAAAATATATAAAATAATAGCAGGATTACCTGTTAACCCCGCCTTGGAGACACTTTCCACAATACTCGCCATCTTTTATGGAATAAATTGTATTAAATCATATGAGTTTGAGGCAAAAAATCATCATATAAGAAATGAAAATTTGTATTGAAATATCGATAATTACAAATATTTTTTAGTGAATTAGTTGATTACTGCATTTTGATTTAAATAAAGCATGCAAAATTGCATCTTTACTAGTTACTTTAATAAAAGAAAAAACTACATTTCTATGTGTATAATTATTTTTGCTTGTTCATTGAAAGTTCATTTTAATTTAAAAATTGTAATATTTCAATATGACTTAAGATGCTTTCATTGAGTTGTAATACATAAAGGTTTATACGGAAGTAAACCAGAAAGTTTCTTTATATCAAATTTTCTTTGAATGAGGATGAGTAAGAGTTGGATAGTTTGTGATGTTGAAGTTCCATGTATGCACAGTTTAACTGTACTCTATGTCTCGTTCCTGTACATCTCCTGTATAAAAATATTTTGATACTTCATAGTTCATATAAATGAGATAAATAGGATCAGTTGAAAATAATAAACATTATTGTTTATGTCATATTCAAAGTTGACTATAAATGCTTTAGGGTCAAATATTTATTCAAAATCACTTTAAAAAATGATACTTTACCAAATGATAATAAGAAACATTATAAACTAAAAGTTTATTGACTAATTAATAATAATTAATTATTTAAGTATCAAGAAGAAATGAATAAAAGATTGAAGCCATAGAAATAATTTTAAGAGGGATTTAAACTTGCAATGCACATTAAACTATTAAGAGGAAGACGACAATAGACGTGTTTTATATGTGTATGGAAACATTTACAACAGTTAATTTTGACTCTAATTTTTAAAAGGTTCTATTATTTAAGTATTAAGAAGAAATGAATAAAAGATTGAAGCCCTAGTAATACTGTGAGTTAATAAATTACCTGCTGGTTGCTGACCAAGGCTAGAAGGTTGCTGCTGGGGAGGGACAGGTTGACTCTTTAGTTGCTGGTGACCCACTTAATGAATATACAAATTTAAGAGGGATTTGAAGTTTTATTGCAATTTTAGCTATTGATTGGAAAACAACAGTAATGTTGATTTAATTAAGAACTTGAATCACAGTTGTTGTATGATTTAATCAAGTAAATAATCCAACAATTTACCTTAAGTAAATATCTATGGAATGAAATTGTTGTTTAGTAATAGTTACTAGACAATATTGGTTTCATGCCAACACTAATGTTAGTAATGATAATAAACATCCATGAAGCCGTCAATCAATCAATCAATCAATCAATCAATCAATTTCATATAAGATGAACAAGTCATCCAAACATGAGAAAGAAATAAATGTTGTACTAAAAAGTTTACTTTATATTGTGGAGATAAAAAATTGGTTCATCAACCCAAAATCATTTAATAGACCAAAATAAACAAACAATAAAGCAATTTTATCAAAAAACCAGGGGTATTTATTATCAATTAAATACCATAAGATTATCAATTATGAAAAATATTAAAATAAATAATTGTGGTCACTTCCAATTAGCACCTTGATTGTTAATGAATGTGTATGAATTGTATTAAAAGGGTATTCATTAACAATACTTGAGGTAGACCGTCTATCGCTATGTAATTTCAACGTTCGCAAGGTTAAAATTAAAATTAATTAAAATTAAAATTATAACCTCGCCCTAGATTATGTTTTGTTTCGGTTTGTTTTACAAAGGGTCATGAGTAAACTCATGAATTCTATGCAAAAATAATTGATAACAAAACAACTGAAAGATGTATGTGTCCCCTTTAAATATATATCCCTGTGTGAGTATGATGAGTACATTTATTCTAAAAATAATAAATAACAAGAGGAAATGTAAGCAATATGAAAATTATGAATGAAAAGCTGTGAATCCATGGATTAACATTGTTTACATCTTCACCTTGTACGGCGTGTTATTGGTTCTGTACAAAGTCACCACGTTTTCATGGGATTGTAATCAGATTTTTTCCAGCACTAGCATCGTATAGGGAGTGAAACAAGTTTTTGAAACTACAACAAGTCAGTTTTGAAAAAAACTGCTGATGAAATTGCTTAACAGTATGCTCACATTATGCCTCTAGTAAAAATTCTCAAAAACCATTTAAAATTATAAAAGCTGAGAAAAAAAAATGTACTCCTAACACTTGAAAGTTACTCTTTGACCTGTGTTATTAAGGGAATCTTAGAAAGATTTTAAAATATATACCCCTGTCAGAGTAAAATGTATACTTTATAGATGCCCTATTATATGTTTTGTTTCAATGTTGGGAAAAAAAGGGTCATGTCAAACTATGATCTCCGTGCTAAAGTTATAGGCGTTTGGGTCACCATTACTTTATAGGTGATATTTTTTATCATAAATATAAATTCTCCTTTGTGAAGGGATTGGTATAAAACCACGAACAAAACAACTGAAAAATATACAAGACAGGTGCAAACATATACAGATAAGAGTAACTGGACTAAATGATTAACATCTACCTCGTGGGAAGTGTCATTGCATGTTGATTAAATTGTTCAAGTTTATGCTTACAATATGGGTTTAGTGAAAATCAAATTTTTCATAAACCATTTAGATTAATAAAGATTTGCATAAAAAAACCTACTTTTTGAGCTCCATTAAGGAATAAGGTTGTAACAGAGCAGTTTAATAATCTTGTTACTAGGATAGATGGGTTATGAAGAAAGGATTGTTGTGAACAACAACCACTTACTTATCTTTAACCATCTACATCCATGTCAAGAACCTCATCAACTGGGAAAAGCTCTTGTTGATACACGTCCTTCCTGGTCTGTTCCAGGATGAGTTTGCGTGCCTCCTCTGCTTTCATGTCCTTGAAACCTTGTGACTTGGCAATAGAGTCAAAGCGCTTTTTAGGCGGCATTTTCCTCATGGACAGACTATCAAGGTCTCTGACACGAGTCAGAGCTGTGTAGGTGAGACAAGAGGTGAACTCAGTGTCCCCCAGGTCAATCATAACCTTGTCCAAGGTTTGACCCTGACTCTTGTGAATGGACAGAGCATAGCCAGGGAGCAGGGGCAGCATAGTTCGACTCTGCTGCTTACTCCGCAGTGTCCATGTGCATCTAATGATCCCGAGGGGATGAACACGCTCCATGTTAGGCAGACAGCTCTGTCCCTTGTAGTCTGGGAACTGGACCAAAACTGTGGGGAAGGGATCCTCCTCTGTGAGGTAGATGATGCCCACCACAGTTCCCATAGAACCATTAGTCAGGCCCTGACTGAGACACAGGTTGGCTGTCAGCATAACCTTCATGCCCCGACACAGGACTAGGTTTCTGGGCAGCCCACCAGCATCTGATGCATCCATTATAGAGGCAGACTCTGGATTCTTTAGTGCGTTGATGAGCACATGTGGTGTTCCGAGAGCCAGAATCTTGTCCAAGTTGAACCTGGCAAAATCCTTTTTACAGGCGCACAAAAGGATGTCCATATACGCCATGTATTATCCTAAAATTTTCGTATCTGTGTGTTCTTTATCCTAAATCAGAAACGCTATCCGAAAACGCTATCCGACATTTCAATTCTATTTCAATTTTGTCTGTTCGCTATGTATCACTATCCTAAAATAACATCATCACGTCTACCATTATCCTAAAATTTCATCAACGCTATCCTAAATTGATTTAAATTTAGATTTTTTTACAAAAATCACTAAACCTCTACAGTAAAAAACTCGTATTGACAAAAAACTTAAACACAGATTTCTNTGATTTTTCATCAATGACAAGGAGTATCATGTGCTTCAATTCCTCTTGGATAGTTTTCAGTGTGGTCTCTGACAAACGTTCCAAGGGAGCATTCCCTTTGATCACTGGCAAGTGGAACAGTGAATGCAGTGTTGAATTAGGCGTGGGCAGCAATTTAGCGGCACAACCTGTTGGAGCAGCAAATCGTATGAGCTGTCCAATGGCCGGGTCATCCGGACCAAGAGTTTTTGCCAACTCTGCTTTAAAACATTTGACAATGGTTGTTTTCCCTGTGCCAGCGGATCCTATGATCTCAAAGAGACCCTGGTGGCTGGGATTGGAGCGTTTTTTACGCATGTGAAACAACAAGTACTCGACTGCCTCACGCTGTTGGGTGTTCAAGGCATTGAGAGGAAGTGCAGTCTCTACATTATCCAGGTCCTCAGGACCTTTGTTGTGGACTTCAGCTCTCAGCTGATCAGCTGTAGAGGCAGAGTGTCCCTGTCCTCTGTTTTGTTGTACACTGCATCAGCGTTTTCAAGTACAAAATCGGCAAGATCTTCTTCGTTATGATCTCCCGGTTCATCTTGTTCAAGACGGTTGACAAGTCCCGCCAGGGGATCATCTTCATCCACTTGGTCGTGGACAAGGTCCTCTTCAGCGGTGGGAATGTAATTTGACCGGGATGGAATACGATCTTTGTGTATGAGGTCCACAACCCAGTCTGGCAGTGTGCCTTCATCTTTGAGGCGCTCAACCACTTCCAACAGTTCACTGTTGGTCAACAATTGCAAATCTTCAAGACTTCCAGCCCGTGGGTCATGGAGCCTAATGGTGGTCAAGAGAAACTTTCGATACCAAACTGGGTTGGAGTTCTCATTGGGACATGCGTCAAAGTAGGGGTGGGGACACACTACTTTGTAGCGCAGCAGTGGTTGCCACTTTACATCAAACATTGAGGCAAATTCATAGAGACTAATCTCTTCAGGTTTTTTGGGAGTTGGCTTGAAATCCTTTGAACACCTGGCATAAAGCTGTTTAAAGTTTGTAAAGTTTTCGTCATTCTCCCGGTTAAAGTAGACATCAACGAGTGACTTGCTGACAATTGTGTCAGTGTCATTGTTCTCTAGATTGATGAGACAACTGTCTTCAAGAACTCCGACATGAACAAGCTCACGAGAGAATTTCATGGCCTCTCCTTTGTTTAGATAGAGGCATACCTCGGGGTGGCCATAGTCCCGACTCTTGTGTTGTTTGAGCAGGATTTTCTGGCACATTGTGTTTACATTGTTATCGGCCATGTGGCGAATAATATCTGTCTCCAAGTCCTCAAGGGCTATGGAGTCAGTTTCTTCTTTGGCCATGTATTTACAGACATACTCTTTTGTATCTTCTTCAAGTATAACAGGCATTGAGCAGGTGTTGGCACCCCAACTCAAGACAATATCGTCATTGCGTATGACAGTGTTTGGATGATTACGTGGGAGATGCATCCGCATCTGTCCCTGGAACACTGACGATTCATCCATGACATGTGTAAGTTTGCCCAGACAATGGGGCTCCTGTCTCTGAACACCCATGTCAGTGTATTCATAGTCCCAGAGGGCTGCTGGAAACCCAAACCTGCAATGGACAGCAGGCTGAGCCTCTAACAACTCACCCTCTTCTGGAATTGTTGGCATGGCACGGGTATGCCTTGCTTTAAGACAATATGGCGATTTACACATATAAATGTGAGTTTTATTGACCATCTTAATGAGATTGCACTCAGGGTCAGTCATCCTTTCTTCCAAAGTCATTCTCAAAACCTCATTGGTTGGATTGTGCATGAGGGTACCGCCATGACAAACCAGACGGTCTGAAAAATCGTTGAATGGATGTGACATAGTAAGACCCCAACAGAGCCGTGAAATGTGCACAAGCTTTCTTCGGCTGAGAACTGCTTTGGCAGCATTGGAGTTGACGGTGTGTAACAGCCTCGTCACTAGTATCATCCACAGCTGGCTGTGGTGCATCCAACAGTTGTTCAATCCTGTCCAGTTCTTCCTCTTGGTGCCAGGGACGCATCAACCCCAACAGGCAGTACCAAAAGGATATGAGCATGGATGGCTGATTTAGATTGAAACTCGTAGCGAATGAGCCAGTCAAGGGCACCAAACTCCTCACAAAATATGTCCTTGACATAAGTCTTGACTTTGTGTCTGAAATAGACATCATAACATCGTTGATGCCTTATGATAAAATCTCGTCGAAAGATATAATCCTCTTTGTTGGTGCAATACAGGGATCTGTCTGCTCCCTGGGGTATTTCTTCAGCGTTTTTAACCAATATCTTACTCAGATGTTGAACACCTTGAGGAAACAGCTTGAGAAAGCTGTTGCAGTGAGTGTCGGCAGAGCTGAGGGTAAGAAAATAGCTGAAACTCTCTTTATCACCTGAATGGTGGCGAATAAAGGAAATAAAATTCGAGGCTGCATTGCTAAATTTACGCATATAGGGTTTGGAACCCCAAATGTTTGCACCTTGTCGTGTGATCTGTCTGATCAAATCATTGGCCTCCTGGTCCGATGCATTGAGCAGGCGTATGAACTCGTCCTTACTCATGCTCGCCAGTGTTTGGTTGGCTTACAGGTTGCTAGTTGTGAACATTTTCTTCTTTTGAATGTAGTTGAACACAACAAATAGGAATGAATCTGTGGTGCTCGGCAAAATGTTGGTCCTTGAACCGTAGTAAATGGAGAATCCAATCTGTGGGTGTAACAGCAGTGGTTCGATCCATGTTCAAATCTGCCTTGCCACGAGGAAATAGGGTAGGGAAGGCCATGCCAAAAAAGTGGGGAATGGAATCTCGTACGGGCTGGCCTTCCTCTGGCCAGTTCAGGGGATTCTGACTGGTGCCAGGCGCTGGAGGGGCCCCAGCTGCCTCGGCATTGGTTTGGTTCCGCAGAGTCTGACGAATAATGTCACTCTCGGTTTGTCCTGGTCCAAGGTTGCCCAACACCATTGTGTGGTACAGACTAGGTGCATCCTCGTCTGGCAACTCTTGTGGTCCACTGTCGGGATCCAATACAGGATTAGGTCCAATAGGGATGGTGGGCAGGTCTTGAACCTCGCCACTGTCCACATACCTATCCAAGTTGCGAACATTGATGTTGACATCCTGATAATGGGGGTTAAATTCTTTTAGCCATTGCAATGCCAACAACACTTTGTTGCGACGCATTCTGACTATTCGGCTTTGTTGGCCAGGCGCTGTGATGGCAACAATATTGAGATGTTCTGGTGCACGGGGCAATTCAGTGCACATGCTAGATACATCGTTGGGCAAGCACACAATGTGCCCTTTGAGATGGGGAGTCTGATTAACCCGGTGGATCCCCATGATGGGTAAGATCTTTCCTATTGCCAGCTCCTCAGTGGGAGTGAGATCTTTAAGCTCATCTGGCATGTCATCTGGTTGCATGCTGTTGGTGGCACCAAACTTGAGAGCTCGTCTGGGCTTTTTATGACACTCTTCACATTTCCCGTTTGTAAGCATCATGCCCAGGTCCTGTTCAAGACAATCTGTGCAGGAGCTGGCTGGAAACTTAAACTCTTCCAATTTCTTTTCCCAGCGTTGAGCAGCTGTTAAGAACGGATTGTTCTCAGTGATGTATGACTGAGAGTGATGTTTCTCAGTGTTTAGCTCTGTCATGCGGTTTTGGTTTGCTTCTATGTGTTCCTGGTTATATACAGTGGTGAAGCCAGAATCTGAATCAGCAAACGGATACTTTTGTTTGTTCAGTATCTTGGCAACCTCAGGATGATCAAAGTATTCAATGATGATATCCTTGAGCTGAATTCGTTGAGGAAGAGAAGTTTTCTGTATCTGAAGTTTATTTGTCAGTTTGACTAGCAGATCTCTTACTTGAACAGAATCCCCATTTATGTATAAACGATGGGCCTTGGAAAGGATCTCAGCTCTTCTTGATTTCAGTGCAGAACTGATGTCCCAAATGATGGGGTAGAATTTCTCTGGGGTTAAGTTTAAAAGTGCGTCAGTTAAAATTTGTATTTTACGCTCATAAAAGTTTGGACGAACTTCATGTTCTAACATACGGAGAATAGCATCAACATCAGCATATTGAAACTTTGGCTTTGACACTAACTGTTGGATGAGGATTTCCTTTTCAACTCTCGTGTAAGTAAAAAGAATTGTCTTTCTTTGATTAATAAATAACTTTAACAGGTTAATCCCATCAAGAAATGGCTCATAGTTTTGCAAATACCTCATAAATTGACGCCTTTGATCTACTAGAATATTCGACTCTAAAACTACCCCTTGTTGTTCTAAGAAAAGTGCGCAGTCAATATATATAAAATCAGGACTGCCAACAATATCTATTATAATATTACACTTCTCTTCATTAGAGTAAACTCCATCTGAAATATACAATATAAATGAGAAAAAAAGGAATGTACGACAAATGATAAAATTGAATGATTGAAAAACTTTATTTTGATATATAAACAAAAGTTGAATATCTCAGCTATATGAATTAGATATTGCCACCCAAAACCTAATTTTTCGTTCTTTATCAATTAAATCTGAAGTAATTGAGATCAAGCTTGGTGGAAATCTTTATTGAATAAAAATAAACAGATTCATAAAACATAATGCTATCAGCGTCCACTACAGCCTCCAGGTGGGACTGGAACCTCAAGCAGGCAGTGGACATCATCTCCCTGTCCAAGGACTTGAAGGCAGAGATAATCTTTGCAATTAGCCACACTATTGTGTTAAGGGGGATGTCTATTGACATCACTATCAGTGATGCCACAGATAAAATAATCCAAAAGATTGTAGTCTGATGAGCTTGCAGGCAAAATATTGGAAAAAGATGAAAATTTCAGGAACTGGAGAATGCTTGAAACAGGTAAGGTCGTCGTTTTCACTATGAACTGACAGTTTTTTAGGCAATTAGACTTGAATCTGAGCTTGTTGCTGATGATGTCACAAAATAACTTGTCAGATACCCTCAGCTCTCTAATGATGGCTCTCATGGAGACTAGAATCAATATCATCCATTTTGTGGATGTTTGTGACTGTCTTAACGTTATACACATATCAGGAACATATGTGAGACTTTCATTTCCAGTCATTATCTTCAGGGACATTATGAGCTGTAATAAATTTTCTGGCTTATGACCTTGACACTATTACTATTTATAACTATTAATTACTACTTAACCGGGAGATTAAGGGAGGATAATTAAATTGAGGGGAAAACCACTTAGCCGAGGGCCTCCAAGACCTTTTTGGGGTTCTAAACCTCACGAGNCCTCTGTACTGCCTAATGACACCCCTGTATTTAATGTGTGTAAACCTAGGTTTCAAGAAAAATAACTAGCATCTCTAACTGTGTGAACCCAAAATATTTCTCTAATACGCATAGGAACTCTGCAACAGTATTTTGAAAATAGTGTGGCAATATTTCACACAACCTGTATATGGATTGGATAATGACTGAAACTTAAAATATAATGAAAGTTTACTTTGAGAGTTATTTGAGGGCTGAGGAATACGAATGGAAGAGGCTTGCTGCCTTATGATCAAGTCACGAAGAATTTTAACTCTCCCAATCATCAAGTCCCTCTTACTTGGATCTCCTCCAACCTTCCAAGTGTTTTTGCTATTTAGCTGGTCAGGCGTTTTAACTCTTTCAAGATTCAGCGCCTCCATAGCCGTTGTAAAACTCATACTGTCTGCTAGTCTGACAAGAATGAGTTGAAGAATCTTGACCAAAATTTGTGGTTTGGTCAAATGTGTTTTTGTCTTGACATCAGGAAAGATCTGATACAGCCTTTTGATAGGAAGTTTCACTAAAGAATCCCAAGACTTTAACCGCACAGAATTGTCAAGAAGGGAATTCACTGAAAACACAAATTTTAAATGACTGTATTATACAATTAAAATCATTAACAATTAAAATACAAATACAGTATACAGTATAGACATTGAGGAAACAAATTTCGTGGACAATCCTCAGGAGATTGATGTGGCTGAAGAAGATCGGTTTTGTAGAACTCAACAATGGATTAAGAATCAGGATTTTGTTGCATACGGTAAGAAAAAAAATATTTATACCCCACCTTCTTTTTGTAAACCTGTTAAGGAATTTTTTAATTCACCCTGTGTATTTTTTAGAATTTGACTTCAACAAGATACTACTCCAAGTAAAAACGAATAAGATTAGCCAAGATTGGAAGATGGAACTGGAGTACTTAGAAGGCCTGGAATCTCCAGATCAAGAGGATGGTGATGATCAAGATGATGCTGATGATCAAGATGATGCTGATGATCTAGATGATGAAGTAATTGTAGTTCCCCAAGAGAAGCCTGGCAGCGATCTGATGCAGGATCCATCAGAATCGGATATAGAAATCCTGCTTGAAGTGCGCACTGTTACCATAACTACATTATGGTAATGAACCATTGATACTTTTGTGTATTTTTACCATTTAATAAATATATAAATTTAGCTTGTCTGTTTGTATCCAATAAACGTTGACACGGTTGAACCGATCCGGCCCAAATATTTTGTGGGACATCACGTGACCACAGGGAAGGTTTATGAATGATCAAAATTTCAAATATTTGTCTCCATCAAAATTTTATCTTCATTAATTTTTAAATCAATTTAGAAGCTGGTCGCTAAATATCACTATCCTTGACATAACTTTATTTTTAAAAATGATTAGAGTTGTATTTAGGGTGTATATTTTTCTATTAATTAGCTTTATAGATTTGTGTATATTCACCATTTGATAAATATATAAATTTAGCTTGTTTGTTTGATTGTCTGATTGTATCCAATAAACGTCGACACGGCGGAACTGATCGGGTCCAAATTTTTGTGGGACATCACGTGACCCCAGGGAAGATTTATGAATGATCAAAATTTCAAATATTTGTCTCCATCAAAATTTGATCTTCATTAATTTTTTAATTAATTTAGAAGATGGGCGCGAAATAACACTATCCTTGACATAACTTTATTTTTAAAATGGAGTTGTATTTAGCGTGTATATTTTTCTATTATTTAGCTTTATAGATTCCCATAAAAATGATTTTGGTGTAAAAAGCATTTATTAATAAATACTTATTAAAGATAACGCATAATAAGATACTAGTTATAATTTAGATTAATACTGTTAGCAATTCCTCGATTTATAAAACCTTATATTCTATTAAAATTAAGAAGTGTTTATAGAAAAAATAATGTGTTGCCAAAAAATCTAATATTTTGATATTGAACCTTTATAACTTTAATTTTGTAAAAGTGTTGTGAAAACAAATATTTATTTTTTTGTTGTCATTTTTTTAAAACACTGTGTCAATAACTTAAAAACTTAGTTTAATGATATTTCGATCATCTCAATCATTTCAGTTTCCTGACTTAAAACTGGCTGGTACGAGGTTGGAGGTGAGGGGGGGGGACATTTTTCTAATAGTATTTAAAAAACCAAAACAAACAATGCTGAGACAAAAAACTAGTCCCAGGATAATTTTTAGAGCTAGCACCACCAGATCCGAAATACTCGAAGAACTGATCTATAAAATAAAAATATTCATACATCTATTAATTTGGTTTGGCTCTCAAAGTGTCTGTGTGTTTGTATCCAATAAATCGTCAAAACGACTGAACCGAACAGCTCCAAAATTTTTGTGAGACCTTGTGTAACCCTAGGGAAGATTTATAAATGATAAAAATTTTAAAAATGTGTGTTTTAAAGCGGTTTAATTTGTAAAAAAATCATTCTTGAAAATCTAAATTAAAATAGAAGATGAGCGCAAAGCGATTAAAAAAAACCAAGTTTTTTATAAATATATATATCAAAAATATTACCTGCATTGGAGAATAAGAAGGAAAGGTAGACGTAAAAGCTGAAGAGATAGATGTAGAAGCAGCAAGAGAAGAAGAATAAGAAGATGTCTAAAAAATAAATAGAAATTTAAAATATATATATATGTAGTAGAGCTAGTCACACTCATATTAAAGAATAAGAAGGAAATCTAATTAAAACTTTTTTTTTAAATCGTGGATCATGGATCATTATAAATATCTTTAAAATCTATGAATTACCAAGGTTGAAGATGAAGTCATCAAAGTAGTCTCAGTTGAGAAAGTCGTAGAAGAAGTTCTGGAAGGAAGACTAGAAGAAGATGCCTAAAATACATAGAAATTATAAAAATATATGTCGTAGACCCAGTAGGTAGTAAATCTAATATAAAAAAACATTTTTTTAAATCATTGATCGTGAAGCATTATAAATATCTTTAAAAATCTATCAAATACCAAGGTTGAAGAGGATGCTGATGAAGTCTTAGTTGAGAAAGGCGTGGCAGAAGTTCTGTAAGGAAGAGTAGAAGAAGAAGATGCCTAAAATAAATAGAAATTATAAAAATATATGTCGTAAACCCAGTAGGTAGTAAATCTAATAAAAACGCAAACATTTTTTAAAAAACTCATGAATTACCAGGGTGGAAGAAGACGTTGATGAAGAAGTTGAGAAAGTTGTGGTAGAAGTTCTTAAAGGAAGAGTAGAAGAGGCCTAAAATAAATAGAATAAAAAATTCTGGATCATAGATCATGGATCATTATAAATATCTTTAAAAATCTATGAATTACCAGGGTTGAAGAGAACGTTGATGAAGAAGTTGAGAAAGTTGTGGTAGAAGTTTTTAAAGGAAGAGTAGAAGAGGCCTAAAATAAATAGAATAAAAACTCCTGGATCATAGATCATGGATCATTATAAATATCTTTAAAATCTATGAATTACCTGGGTTGAAGAGAACGTCGATGACGAAGTTGAGAGAGTTGTGGTAGAAGTTCTTAAAGGAAGAGAAGAAGAGGCCTAAAATGAATAGAATAAAAACTCCTGGATCATAGATCCTGGATCATTATAAATATCTTTAAAATCTATGAATTACCAGGGTTGAAGAGAACGATGATGAAGAAGTTGAGAAAGTTGTGGTAGAAGATCTTAAAGGAAGAGTAGAAGAGGTCTAAAATAAATAGAATAAAAACTCCTGGATCATAGATCCTGGATCATTATAAATATCTTTAAAATCTATGAATTACCAGGGTTGAAGAGAACGTTGATAAAGAAGTTGAGAAAGTTATAGTAGAAGATCTTAAAGGAAGAGTAGAAGAGGCCTAAAATAAATAGAATAAAAACTCCTGGATCATAGATCATGGATCATTATAAATATCTTTAAAATCTATGAATTACCAGGGTTGAAGAGAACGTTGATGTAGAAGATGAGAAAGTCGTGGGAGAAGTTCTTAAAGGAAGAGTAGAAGAGGCCTAAAATAAATAGAAATTATAAAAATATATGTCGTAGACCCAGTAGGTAGTAAATCTAATAAAAAAAAAAAAACTCCGGGATCATAGGATTAATATAAATATCTTTGAATATCTATGAATTACCAGGGTTGAAGAGGAATTTGTTGAAGTAGTTGAGAAAGTCGTGGAAGAAGAAGAAGAAGGAAATGTAGAAGAAGAAGATGCCTAAAATAAATAGAAATTATTAAAAAAATGTAGCAGACTCTGTAGGTAGTAAATCTAATGAAAATGTAAACTTTATAAAACTATAATATGATAAACAATCGAAATTAGAAATTCAATATAATGATGAAATAATTGCTTCTAGCATTGATTTCTCAAATGATCCCAAATTTCTAATTAGATTAAGGTATAATTTTTACTTTATTTTTCATTGATGATATTTAGTAATTTTTATAAGAAATCTATTTTTAAAAAATGTATACATTCCAAGTAGGATTTTTAAACGTTGAATTTGCATTCAAACTCTAGATTATATAGAGCTTAAAAAAGATTTATATGTCTCAAATAAATCTGAAAGAAGCTTTCAACAGCACTGTATACTCAGTTCATCGTCCTTACATAGTATGTCCCTCCCTTTTATGAAAGTATTTAAAAGTAATATTTGTATCATATAAATAACTTTAACCATCTATGAATTACCTGAGTTGAAGTCAATATTGTAGGTTCCTGTGGGGAAGAAGTAGATCTTGTAGCAGAGCAGGCTGTCCTGGTGGAGAGAGAAATCTAATATTAAGCCCTTTAATCAACTAGAATATGAAAAAAAAACTTTAAAGAATTGCAACATTATTAAATAACGAGGCTTTTTTCAAAAGGATTTGAGTTTTTGCCACAAACTCTGATTTTCTAATCCCTATATGTTTTTTCATTCAATGTTGACCTATGAGCTAAGTTAGATCAAATAATTCAAGTTTGAAATATCAAAGGGCTACTCCTTTTGGTCGTCGAGATAAAGGGATTAGAAAATTCAAGTTTGTGGCAAAAAACAATGTTCCTTTTATAAAGATCTTTTTTAAAGAAAAAATATTTCAAACTATTAATCCTGTTATATCAAATAGTCTATGTTTGAAATATGAAAGGTCTACACCATGAAGTTGCAAAAATATTGGGATTAGAAATTAAGATTTGTATTCTCTTCTTTTCTCCCACTCTAGCGCAAGATTAAAACTAGGGATTTGAGTCTTTGCCACAAACTCTGATTTTCTAATCCCTATATGTTTTTCATCCCATGTCAACCTATGAGCTATGTTAGATAAAATAATCCAGGTTTACTCCAATTCTATTTTTATATTTGTTATCTATTTTTATAGATTTGATTCATAATATTTTTATACGTTGTATTGCTTGATTAGAAATTCCACGAATGTCAGGGTAGTAAAGTGTTCATGTGATACAGGCGGAGACATGTGACCCGTATACTGCTCTACCATTGGTGATAGTTCTGGTCACCAGATTTAAGTTTAAGATTTTCTAAATTTATATTTATGAACTTTTGTATAATTTTATCACAGTTTTAAATCAATTTCTCTAGACAGGAACCGCAGATAAAACATTCATGGGTCTCGATCAAGAGCTAAAGTGATTATCTTTCAGCCTATACCCCCTTTCATTTTTCCTTTACAGTCCCTTCAAGATTGTAATTTACATGTTTTTATTATAACTCCGTTAATGAAAGAGTTAACGAGAAGACTTAAAAATGTTGTTTTTCTTTATTTTAATAATATATACATCCATTACTTTTTCTTCACATGTGTATAAAAATAAGAATTAGAGGAGCAACGGAGTCCCAATTGTAACAGTAATGATAAATGAATTTGACCTTTTCCTCCCTGTTAGTTTACAGTAAATATAGTTGTAGGGGTAATTACCGAAGTCTGCTGCATAGTAGATGGTACAGAGGCAACTGGTGTCTTAAAATTTAAATAAAAACCTTTTCTTTAACAAATTGATGCAACAATAAATCTAAATTTATGGCTTAAAATTTAAAAAAGAAAAAACATCAAGGTTTTTTATATTGCTTTAATGTCCATATTCTATATTATAGTTTTTTCTGATAAACATGTAGAACATTTTTGTAATAATCTTTAATCATTGTAATCTCAAAAAATTAATTAACAATCAAATATAAATGTCTAGATTGAATTGAAATATCCCGTTAAATTCTACACCTACAGTGAAATCCAGAAAACTATGGAATAGAAAAAAGACGACTTTTAAAAAAAAAATTATGATAATCCAATAAGCACGGAAAAATAGAAATGATCCATTTAAACTTGATTTGTGATAAAAGAAGTGTCTAGTAAAAATAAATTTTGCCTTCTAACAACATAAAACTTTTGTATTGTTTTTAAAGTAATCTTCGAGATTTCTAGTTTGAGTGTAATATATAATTACCGCGAAGAATTTAGTTGAATAAAAATCACAAATTCTATCCAACTGATAGCGTCTAAAAATGAACATTAATTTAAAGTATTTTTTCTGTAGAAAAAATAACTTTATGATTTTACCTAATCTTATTTACTTTTGGTTTGTACATTTCCATGTGTGATAGGGAAACTCTAAGTATTCTATCATCGTGCTTTAGATGAATACAAGCATAAGTTGTAGTTAACAAAATGGAAATAAAAACAATGTTCATTCTTAACCGATATAATTATTACTGCAAAAATATTTAAAAACCTTGCAATGCATCGGGATGATTTTCACCCTCCCCTGTAGATCCAATATCTAAAAACAATACTATTTTTATTTGAAAGTCTGTTTTAAGCACGTGCACTTTTTTAGAACTGGGCGTTTATTAAATATTCTCTATTACACATAACTATTTTGAAACTTAAACTGTCTGAAGTATCATCAAAATATTATTTTTTAAACAAAAATCCTTAAAAAAAGTTTTGATACTATATTTGGTTATCTATGGTTTTATCCTGTATGAGATCATTTAATTAATGATTTAAAGAATTTAAGATTTTGAATTGATGACCAGTCCTAATCAACCGAATTAGTTCTGCAGCGATATTTTAAAAAAACTATAATTACCTCAAAAAAATCCTTTTTAAAAACTCTTAAAACACGGCCATTTTCTTTAGGAAATTTACATTTAGAAAACGAGTACGAGAAAAACATTAGGAATATGAGATACCGATACATTCTTAAGACTGATAAACACAATGTTGTACGCTCTATAAAATTTCAGCTGTATGGCAGTACGCATACGCAGGGTGTAGATAGTTTAAGAGTTTTTATTTCGGAATTAAAGAGATTATATTATAGTCATTTTTGAAACATACTGTATAAATTGAATAACCTATCTGTAATTTAATATCGTATTTTTAAAAACGTTGCTTTTTTGGTCTGTTGTTATCAATATGGAAGAAACATAGAGAATAAACAAGTATAGAGTAGAATTATGACTAAAAAGAAGAAAAAAAGCACCGAGTAAATATCATGTTTGCTATTGAACTTCAGGAACATTGAATGCTCTCAGGATATGGTTAATATATTGACACACAATAAGGCAATAAGGGGGCCTGAAATGTTACCAGTCGATAACAATATGGCAACAAGGTTGATAACTTAAAGAAGTCATTGTAAAATCTGTGTAAATTTAGATTGCTGTGAGTTAACTGAAACCCGTTTAGATCTATCTATCTATCATACGTATATATCTATCTATCTAACATACATATCTATCTATCATACATATATCTATCGATCTATCTTCATAGATCTAGACTTCCTTATGCCTCCTTTTTACTCTTCATTCTTTATCCTTCATATTTCTACTCTTCATAGTTTTTTTTCATTCTACATTCTTCATATTTCTCCTATCTTTCTACATTCTGGAAAACAGATCTGATCACCCACCAGTCTTCTTTTCTCTTTTTACATTTTTATTTCATCATAGTATTTCCACCCCATAAACCCAGGTCTCTGTATTCTCCACCAATCACAGACCTAGTCACCAGTTACTGGTTTTTTTTCTATCTGTAAATCTTGCTCATAAATGCTAGGCCTAGTCACCCCAGTCTCTGTATTCTCCACCAATCACAGGCCTAGTCACCCTAACCCTAACTGGCTGTCCATACAGACTCATACATCAAAAAACACCCTGACTCATACCATGACTCAATTCAGCAGGAGCATTCTTATTGGTCGAATTTTGGTTTTGTTTCCACCAATCACAGGCCTAATCAAACTGAATTTATCCAGTACCAAGCTTCAGTTACTTAAGTGTCCATTGGTCAGGGTAGACCCACACTCATTGGCTCCTAATTCATGACTCATACCATGACTCATACTAGGACTCATACCATATTATAGATAGATAGATAGATAATATATATATATATACTTTAAAAATGGGGGGGGCAACACCCCCTCAAAGGGGGTATTACCCCCCTCCCCCTCCCAGATCAGGGCAGGCTGGGCCGGGTCAACAACCCCCCACATTTCTTAAATGTCATCTTCATCAATCAATCAATTTAGACGATTCTGAATGTCGTCTTCCATGACACCAACCAATTCCAACCAATCAGAAC